CGCCCCCCCCCCCCCCCTCTAAAATGCTTTCTAAATGATGAGACATGAAAGCAGGAAGACATCAAAACCTATTTAGACTTGGCATTATGGCTTTGTTCACACTGGCAGCCCAAATCTGATTATTAAGGCAGATCAGAGTCAATTCCAGCAAAAAAAAAATTAGTGTGCAGCATTAGTGTGTAGATGTGAATGTAAATTAATGTGTTCTTTGTTGCATTAAATGCAGTATTTACTGTCTGTTTTTGTAGAAGAAAGTATCTTGGCATCGTGTTGACGCCTACATTGTGTCTATAGCAACCAATATAAAAAGTGGCAAAGTGCAGCCCAGTGCAATTTGAAAAACAAATTGCATGCAGTTTGAACACAGCCTGTATTGCACATTAAAGGGTTAGTTCACCCAAAAATGAAAATTAGCCCATGTTTTACTCACCCTCAAGGCATCCTAGGTGTACATGACTTTCTTCTTTCAGACGAATCCAATCGGAGTTATATTAAAAATTGTCCTGGCTCTCCCAAGCTTTATAATGGCAGTGGGCGGCGGGTGTTTCTGTTCAACAGTCCAAAAGAAGTCAAATAAAGTGCATCCATTCATAATAAAACATGCCTCACACGGCTCCGGGGGTGAATAAAGGCCTCCTGTAGCGAATCAATGCATTTTTGTAAGAAAAATATTAAATATTTAAAATGTTATAAACACTAATCACGTTCCGCGCTCATCACTAATCACCCGGCTTCCGCCTACAGTTAGCGGAAGTGAGAGAAAAGTGTTTATAATGTCTTAATTCTGGATATTTTTCTTACAAAAACGCATCGATTCGCTACAGGAGGCCTTTATTCACCCCCCGGAGCCGCGTGAGGCATGTTTTATTATGGATGGATGCACTTTATTTGACGTCTTTTGGACTGTTGAAAAAACACCCACCCACTGCCATTATAAAGCTTGGGAGAGCAAGGACAATTTTTTTAAATATAAATCCGATTGGATTCGCCGGAAAGAAGAAAGTCATATACACTGACGATGCCTTGAAGGCAAGTAAAACATGGGCTAATTTTCATTTTTGGGTGAACTATCTCTTTAATACCTTTAAGATTGCTGAAACTAATTGTTGCATGTGTTTTGTTTACACTGTATGCACGTCAGTCGTGATGTTTTGTATGATAACATCTTGTTGTTGTGCATCTTTGATGTTCACAGTAACTTTATTTTTCTGTTTTTTATTTTTTAGGGATGAACTTTGAAAGGATGATCCGGCAATACTCATCGCACCATATGCGCGCGCACACACACACACACACATCCAAATGGACTTCACTGAGGAGAGCTTGTATAAATGCTCTATTTCCATACCTGTGACAGTCTGACGGTCGTGAAAGATGGATGTATTGATCAGATTCTTTTATTTAAAAAGTGGAAGAGGGCTTTGTGCTTAGATTTTCATGCCTGCAGTTTGAGAATTGTGTGAATGCAGTTTTTTTTGGGGGGGGGTTATTTGACGCAGGTGCATATTTCGTGTGATGACTTCAGTATTACAGTCAATTGGATTGTTCATGCATCTCAGCGTAATGTAAACAGAACACGGGGGCCGGGCTTTGTGCTGAATCCAGCCTGTGATTAAAACAGAATTCACTGCTACATTATGTGTAGGGATGTCTTGGCTCTACAAATCCGTGTTCATAGTAATGGCTTGTGTTTTCAGCTGAAGCATGTGATGCCCAGGCAAAATAAACCACTTATCATTTGATAATTTTATCAGAGGATTCTAGAGTAAGCCACAAGAGGCCATGTGATTTTACCATGGTTATGGGATGCTCTTCGGCTTGACGCAAGGCAATCCTCTTTAAAATCAGTATAGCACAGTTTCAATGGCTCAGTATGGGATAATGTACAGTCAGCTGGTCATTATAGCAAACCGAACCCCTAACACTAAGCAGATCTGTTATTCCTGGATGCTTACCAACCAAATAAATAACGTGTAAATAACATGAATTATTGAAAAGTTGAAAACATTTTAATATGTGCGAAGAAAGAGTGCAGAATGATATAAGAAATTGTTTATCTGGGACAATGGTCAATTATTCTCTTTAGCATAATTAGAAAAATATGTACAAACCACAGAATGCTGCCATTAACCAATCACAATCAGGTATTTCACAGATCCGAGTCTAATAATTGCTTTTAGAGCAGCAGCAATGGAAATATGATAAAAGACTCCAATGCTAAATAAATAACTACCTTTATTAATAAAAATGAATGATTATACCAGTTTAATAATAGAAACATTTCTCCAGGCAAGTAACATAGTCCATTAGCTATAACTTTAGGCTGTTTACAGTTGCCAAGCAATTCAGCAACAGGTGTGTGTGTTTAGGGGTTTTGCAACAGGTATTTTACAAGGCGTATTCAATCAGACTCTACAGTCTGAACTATAGTTTATACACTATATTGCCAAAAGTATTGGGACACCCCCTTCTAATGAACAGGCTTGACTACTTTAGTAATTTCCATGGGTACAGATCTTAATGTTTAAGCATGTAATGGGAATTGTGTGCTTCTAATTTTATAGCAAGTTTGGACAGTTTTGGAAGTGTCTAAAATGACTAGCCATATGTACTTGGCTCAAGGTCTGCATTCAATCATTTCTTTTTGAACCTTGTCTTACACACAGAGGCATTGTCATGCTAGAATAGAAAAGGGTTCTGTCCAATCTGTTGCTATAAAATTAGAAGCACACAATTCCCATTATATGCTTAAACTTTAAGATCTGTACTCATGGAACTGACTAAAGCAGTCAAACCTGTTCATTAGAAGGGGGTGTCCCAATACTTTTGGCAATATAGTGTATGGCGTATAAATCGAAATTTTAGAAATCAACTCAAGAATACTAAAATTAATTTGTCACTATGTTGCTCCAACCTCATATTATTTTCTTTGTTTTGTGAAACACGACAGATGCTTTTCCGCATGATGAAATTTGATGCTTTATATCATCAACTTATTAAAAGTTTGTTAAATTAATAATCGTCGCCTTTAGATTTGATGATGTGGAACCCAAACAATACTGGTTCTCGTGTTCTCGGCAAGTATGATAAACATGAGATTTGAGAGCTACTGTATGGCGGAAGGGAAGATTAAATCTAAAGCCTTAGATTACACAGAATGCACGAGTTGTATGGATGGACTACTTTTATGGTGTCGTTGGAGCTTGACAGCAAAAATCATCCACTTTATTTGGAAAACAGAATCTTGGAACATTTCGTGTATTTCTCAGAAAAAATAAAATCATACAGGTTTGGAATGATATGAGCAGAGTTGGGTCACAAGTTTAGAGCACAAGTGTAGCAATATTACTGCTCGCTTTGAAATGTCTTTCACATCACTGCACTGCTCAAAATAAGCGTGCCTATATTATCTACACTCTTAAAAATAAAGGTGCTTCACGATGCCATAGAAGAACCTTTTTGTCTAAATCGTTCCATAAAGAACCTTTAACATCTGAAGAAGCTTTCTGTTTCACAAATGGTTCTTTGTGGCGAAAGAAGGTTTTTCAGATTACAAAAAGATTTTTGTCACTATGTTGCTCCAACCTCATATTATTTTCTTTGTTTTGTGAAACACGACAGATGCTTTTCCGCATGATGAAATTTGATGCTTTATATCATCAACTTTTAAAAAGTTTGTTAAATTAATAATCGTCGCCTTTAGATTTGATGATGTGGAACCCAAACAACACTGGTTCTCGTGTTCTCGGCAAGTATGATAAACATGAGATTTGAGAGCTACTGTATGGCCGAAGGGAAGATTAAATCTAAAGCCTTAGATTACACAGAATGCACGAGTTGTATGGATGGACTACTTTTATGGTGTCGTTGGAGCTTGACAGCAAAAATCATCCACTTTATTTGGAAAACAGAATCTTGGAACATTTCGTGTATTTCTCAGAAAAAAGAAAATCATACAGGTTTGGAATGATATGAGCAGAGTTGGGTCACAAGTTTAGAGCACAAGTGTAGCAATATTACTGCTCGCTTTGAAATGTCTTTCACATCACTGCACTGCTCAAAATAAGCGTGCCTATATTATCTACACTCTTAAAGATAAAGGTGCTTCACGATGCCATAGAAGAACCTTTTTGTCTAAATCGTTCCATAAAGAACCTTTAACATCTGAAGAAGCTTTCTGTTTCACAAATGGTTCTTTGTGGCGAAAGAAGGTTTTTCAGATTACAAAAAGATAAGCAAGAGATGGTTCTTTAAAGAACCTTTGACTGAATGGTTCTTTGTGGAACCAAAAATGGTTCTTCTATGGCATTTGGTTCTTGAAGAACCTTTTGAAGCACCTTAATTTTTAAGAGTGTAACATGCAGAAAGTAAAGTTCCACTCAGATCCACACTTGCATACATAGCATTGAGCTAAACCTTCAGTGGTCATTTTGATTGTAAGCGGTTTTCAATGCCAGTTCTCTGTGCATGTTTGTGTGTTACCTGCACGCACAAACGTGGCTTTTGACAAATAAACTCACTGCTAAGCAATGATCTGTTCATTCACTGGTCTCTTCTTTCACACAATCTCACAGTCTGAACTATAGAGCAACCAAATTGCTTCTCTGTCAGTCTCCTAGGTTTGTTTTCACTTCTCAGTATAGCTTTAACAGAATCTCTCAGATCGCTACCACTATGAAGAGCAGTCTGTTCAAACACAGATGAAATGGAAGAGTGCCACAAAGCCTGACCTTTATTCATCTTGTACATGCTTCTTTTTGGTGGTTCTCAACTGTTCACATTGCAAAAATGGGGGACAGGTTTGTTCTGATAAAGTCAGAAAAAAGTTGTTCAGTGCAAATTAAAAGCAGCTGAACATTTAATTGGACATAGAATAACAAATTACATAAGTTTATCATCTATTAAGAGGAGAAAACAATTCCTCTGTATTTTTGTTGGCTTCAAAAGGTTGGGCACAATCAGACTATATTGTGGTGTGAATTCTCTAGAAGCTAGTCGGATCCCATGGCAAGAAATGTTCATCATCAAAAACCATGAACAGTAAAAGAGAAATATTACTAATATCTTAGTAATTCTGGTGATGTGCTAGGTTGCGCTTTCATTTCTAAATTTGTTTCAGTAAAATCTAGGGGGAAACCTAACTTTCACTAAAACGTAATTATTGTAATGCACTATTGGCTGCCTTGATTCCGTTTAAAAATAAGCTGCATTTGTTGAACATGCAGCAGCTTGAAAATCTAGTCCCATTTATTGGTGCCTTTATTTGTAATCCAATAACCATAAAATTGATTAAATCTATTACTTTTTTTTATTTATGCAAATTAACATTTTGTTACATTTATGGCATAGAACTGTACACAGAATAGTTATGAAATTTGGCACACAGAAGACAGTCTGAACATTTACCATTACAAATTCGAAGTCTGTCTCTCAAACCTTCTAGCACCAGCAATAGCTCAAACTTTCACTTATGTTTATGCTAATAACTATTGTACTGTACTGTAATGGCAATGGCAAATTTATTTATATAGCACCATTAATTACAACCCATGGTGGTCCAATGTGCTTTACAACAAAATAAAAAACGAAAACACAAAAACACATTTACTTAAAAATACACAAAGTAATAAAAAACAATAAAATGTAAGGCAGGGAAGTGTTAATACAGATTATAAGCCTTGTCAAACAAATACGTTTCTAAGATAGATTTAAAAGCAGATACAGAGGGGGCAAGTCTGATTGTGATAGGTAATTCATTCCAGAGTCTGGGGGCAACTACAGAGAATGCACGGTCACCTCTACACTTATACTTCGACCTAGGGATAACCAACAAGGGTCTCTGTTTGGAAGACGAGACAGAGATCTGGTGGGAAAATGTTCAATCAATAGGCCAGAAATCTAAGATGGGGCCATACCATTCAGAGATTTGTACACTATGAGTAAAATTTTAAAATCAATTCTGTGATGCACTGGTAACCAGTGCAGAGAGCGTAAAATTGGGAGTGATGTGGTCCCGTTTTCGAGTACCCGTAAACAGTTTGGCTGCTGCATTTTGAACTAACTGTAATCGGGACAGAGCTGATTGGCTAATCCCAATATATAGAGAATTACAGTAATCCAGCCTGGAGGATATAAAGGAATGGATTACTTTTTCAAAATGTTTGAAGGAGAGAAAAGACTTTACTTTTGATAGCATTCGCAACTGAAGAAAGTTTATCTGCTTATCAAATTTTAGAGACTCATCAAAGACAACACCCAGGTTTTTCACCGATGTCTTCACACATGAAGACAGCCCACCAAGATTTGCTTTGGGATTATGAATTGAATCTGAAGGGCCAAAGACTATAATGTCTGCTTTACTCTCATTAAAATTCAGAACGTTTAGAGACAACCAGGACTTTACAGGCAAGCCATGAGAGTGTCCAAACCGTCTGAATTACGTTTTAAGGGCAGATAAACTTGGGTGTCATCAGCATAACAATGGAATGACAGCCCATACTTCCTGAAGATAGAACCAAGTGGGAGCATGTATATAAAAAAAAGAATGGGAGCCAAAATGGATCCCTGAGGAATCCCACATGATAAAGAAGCAGCACTAGAAAAATTATCTCCAATATTAACTGAAAAACTTTGATTAGAAAAATAAGATTTAAACCAATTTAAGGCACTACCCTTACTTAATGCCTGCACATTGCTCCAACCGAGCAATAAGAACTTCGTGATCGACCGTATCAAATGCAGCAGTCAAATCTAGGAGCACAAGCACAGCATAGTTGCCAGAATCGCAGGTTACTAAAATATAATTAAAAACTTTCAACAATGCACTCTCAGTAGAGTGATGTTTCTTAAAACCGGATTGAAATATTTAAAAAATCATGTCATCTAGAAAACCCTGCTATTGCTGTAGGACCATTTTCTCCCAAAATCTTAGCGATAAATGGCAAATTTGAGATAGTTCTAAAGTTGGCTAACACTGTGGGGTCTAAGTTCTGTTTTTTAAGCAGGGGGTGGACTATTGCACGTTTTAATAAGTCAGGTACAATACCGGTTTCTAAACAGTGATTTATCATAAACAAGAGCTGTGGACCAACTACATCATAAACTTGTTTAAGAAAATATGGAGGAATTATATCAAGATATATATGTAAGACCTAGAAACAATATTCAAATGCACAAAATGGATTCAATTCGGAAAATCTACTTTTAAAAATTGTGCTAGATGATTAATTGGACAGAATTTAGCTAGCTTATCATTAGATCATGCTGGCCAAAAGCTGTTAAAAGACCAAATCGTTCCCGTGTAATGCTTCAGATTATCTGATGGCAAGCACACCAAAGTAGACAAGTTGACATGAGGCTTTACTTCTTTGACCAATTGAAAGAAAGCTTGTCAGAACCATCACACTCTGAGGAGACCTGGACAGATTTGGCACGGCACCACCTAGTGGTCCAGAAACATGAAAAAGGCTAGAGACAATGCCGGGGCTGGGGGCAAGAATTAGTCTGAGCAGAAGTGGCTGTGCTCTGACCGCTTTCTCATCGTTCAGAGTAGACAGAGTGTTTGCCATCGCCGTGCCGTTTGTTGTTTCATACCATGATAAGCTGATTTTTGTTACACCATAAAACTTTTTAAAGAAATTTGGCTTTTCATACACATTTGAGTGTGCACAATTAAGTATGCATGTGACATTCGTAAAACACTCTGGATACTCATATAGCTGGTCCACATTTAATGTTTTTTTTTTTTTAATGTATTTCTCCAAGATTATTAAATGTGCTATTTTACAATCTATTATAAGGTTTCAAAACTTGTTTGTACAATTACACTGATTATACAGACTAGTATTTAATATCACAGTAAGCCATTAAACCACATTGAAAACATTGCCCTAACCAGATATTCTAGGATATAAGGTCATATATATATATTTTTAAATCAAGGAATTTTTGTCAGAGCCAATAATAAAAAAAAATTCTAAAGTTGTAATCTACAACTTTTTAAATGGCACCAATAATTACATTAACTAAAGCTGTATTCCCTGGACTGAGATTATTAATGAACATAATGAACATGCTGTCAAGCATATGATCATTTAAGGATGCAGAAACAAAATGGTTTAAATGTTTATCCTATTAAGGCGGAGCACACATTTTTTCAGAAATTCTCCCAAAATAAACAGAAAAATACTCTCATTAAAGGGTAAAATTCCCAGGTCAAAAAATATCAGGCAAGCTTGTGGTATATCATGCTTCATTAAAAAAATAAAGCTGAATTCAAATTCAATCACTTCAAAAAACAAGTATATACTCTTAAGTATGCGTTAAGTCAGTATGCCAGTATTTAGACATATTATCAAATCATACAACTGCATCTTTATACCACAGGAACCTTTGTTGCAGTCACACACATCTGCATAACTGCTATCAAAATAACTTTCAGATGCAATTTTCTCAGAAATAGTGTCCATTCACATGTTTGAAATGTTATTTTCCGGATAGCATGATTTGAGATTCAATTAATTCGGCATTCTATATAGTAGAGATAGTTGTTGTACTCAAGAGGATATTAATGGCATGAATACTTACCATCAATCAATAAATCAGTAATAGTCAACCCTGCTTTTGGAGAACTACAATACCTTCCTGCAGAGTTAAGTTCCAACCCTGCACCAACACCTCCATCTGTAATTTTCCAGTAATTCTGAGCACCCTGGTTAGGTCCAGCTATGTTTGATTAGCACTGGAGGATAGTAGCTCTATAGGGCTGTACCAGTCATTTGTAAGTTCTTACTTAAAGTGGAACATAAAGTCCACACTTGGGGCTTATTAATTACTAACTAGTTTGTAACTTTGTACTTAATCTAATTGCACCATTTGTTTTTAAGGCAGAATGTAGCTGGTAGGTTGTAAGCTCTCTGTAAAGTAATGTTTACCCTCAATCCAATAGTAGCCTTCAAATTTGTGAACAGAATTGTGTTAATTTTTTCAGAAATTCTCCCAAAATAAACAGAAAAATACTCTCATTAAAGGGTCAAATTCCCAGGTCAAAAAATATCAGGCAAGCTTGTGGTATATCATGCTTCATTAAAAAAATAAAGCTGAATTCAAATTCAATCACTTCAAAAAACAAGTATATACTCTTAAGTATGCGTTAAGTCAGTATGCCAGTATTTAGACATATTATCAAATCATACAACTGCATCTTTATACCACAGGAACCTTTGTTGCAGTCACACACATCTGCATAACTGCTATCAAAATAACTTTCAGATGCAATTTTCTCAGAAATAGTGTCCATTCACATGTTTGAAATGTTATTTTCCGGATAGCATGATTTGAGATTCAATTAATTCGGCATTCTATATAGTAGAGATAGTTGTTGTACTCAAGAGGATATTAATGGCATGAATACTTACCATCAATCAATAAATCAGTAATAGTCAACCCTGCTTTTGGAGAACTACAATACCTTCCTGCAGAGTTAAGTTCCAACCCTGCACCAACACCCCCATCTGTAATTTTCCAGTAATTCTGAGCACCCTGGTTAGGTCCAGCTATGTTTGATTAGCACTGGAGGATAGTAGCTCTATAGGGCTGTACCAGTCATTTGTAAGTTCTTACTTAAAGTGGAACATAAAGTCCACACTTGGGGCTTATTAATTACTAACTAGTTTGTAACTTTGTACTTAATCTAATTGCACCATTTGTTTTTAAGGCAGAATGTAGCTGGTAGGTTGTAAGCTCTCTGTAAAGTAATGTTTACCCTCAATCCAATAGTAGCCTTCAAATTTGTGAACAGAATTGTGTTGGAATGCGGTGAATTGGCTTGTTAAGGTTGATTCTTTTACTTGAACTTCTTTTACTTCACGTAACTAATGTTAAAAAGGACACTGGAATATGATACTTACTCATGAAAATAAACATAACAGGTGTTTTTATATGTAAATAACATTCATAAGCTGTATTTGAAATGAAGCAATAAATAAATACTATTTAAAAAAAATTAGATTTATTTATTATGATTGATTCCATTTGGATTCCAACATGGAGGGATGCACACAACAGAGAGGTGCACTGTTTAGATCTGGGTTCATGTTGAAGAGCTTCAAACTCATTTATGCACATAATGTTCTCTCTTTGTAAATGCCAACATTATATGTATTAAGCGTTGGAGTCTGCTGGGTAAAACATTAGCTTACTGATGCAATTCAATCAATTAGCCGTTTTATTCAATGCATTATTCTTTGTTGGAGGAAATATTTATTTTATATGTAACGTCAAGTTTAATGGTGCAATTTAAAAAAAAAACTAGGCTGTAATTTACATATACAGCTGGTGCACCTGGCCCCAGGAGCAGGGTTGACTAGCTGTGCATTAGATTCTTTTGCCAACTTATGTGTCCTCTACACACACAGTCACACAAAGGGTGCAGCAGATTGGAGGGTTGATTGGCAGGTGGCTGTTGTGCTACAGATACATGCCATTGATGAGGTAATCAGACTCTTCTGTGGTGAGAGGCAAAGCTTTCTTCAGTCTGCGTCGTACAAGCCAGAGCCTGCAGCCCACCCATCTGTAATTTTCCAGTAATTCTGAGCACCCTGGTTAGGTCCAGCTATGTTTGATTAGCACTGGAGGATGGTAGCTCTATAGGGCTGTACCAGTCATTTGTAAGTTCTTACTTAAAGTGGAACATAAAGCTCCACACTTGGGGCTTATTAATTACTAACTAGTTTGTAACTTTGTACTTATTCTAATTGCACCATTTGTTTTTAAGGCAGAATGTAGCTGGTAGGTTGTAAGCTCTCTGTAAAGTAATGTTTACCCTCAATCCAATAGTAGCCTTCAAATTTGTGAACAGAATTGTGTTGGAATGCGGTGAATTGGCTTGTTAAGGTTGATTCTTTTACTTGAACTTCTTTTACTTCACGTAACTAATGTTAAAAAGGACACTGGAATATGATACTTACTCATGAAAATAAACATAACAGGTGTTTTTATATGTAAATAACATTCATAAGCTGTATTTGAAATTAAGCAATAAATAAATACTATTTAAAAAAAATTAGATTTATTTATTATGATTGATTCCATTTGGATTCCAACATGGAGGGATGCACACTGAGGTGCACTGTTTAGATCTGGGTTCATGTTGAAGAGCTTCAAACTCATTTATGCACATAATGTTCTCTCTTTGTAAATGCCAACATTATATGTATTAAGCGTTGGAGTCTGCTGGGTAAAACATTAGCTTACTGATGCAATTCAATCAATTAGCCGTTTTACTCAATGCATTATTCTTTGTTGGAGGAAATATTTATTTTATATGTAACGTCAAGTTTAATGGTGCAATTTAAAAAAAAAACTAGGCTGTAATTTACATATACAGCTGGTGCACCTGGCCCCAGGAGCAGGGTTGACTAGCTGTGCATTAGATTCTTTTGCCAACTTATGTGTCCTCTACACACACAGTCACACAAAGGGTGCAGCAGATTGGAGGGTTGATTGGCAGGTGGCTGTTGTGCTACAGATACATGCCATTGATGAGGTAATCAGACTCTTCTGTGGTGAGAGGCAAAGCTTTCTTCAGTCTGCGTCGTACAAGCCAGAGCCTGCAGCCCACCATCAGTAAGAGCAGAACGCTGATGATCAGACCCAAAGCCAGGGGTAAGATCGCACCTTCACACACATACACAGAGTGACACTTGAAGAATTTGAGAAAATCTACACAGACACAAAAGTACAAATGACGTTTATTTAGTGCTGTATGTTACTCGGACGATAAAGCAGACCTGATTCAGGGGGGTGGGTGTCCTTCCAGTGCACGATGTATTTTAGACGATGGCAGTGAATTCTGAGACTCTGGGAGAGGATTTTGCAGTTTTTCCTTATGGACAGAAGCAATGGGAGCTGCACAAAAAACAACAGTTATTTTTAATATTACATGCTGCAGGCATTAAATTTGATCAAGAGCACATTTAACACAAGGCCATTAAAGAGTCTAAAGGCCCATTCACTGCAAGGACAAGGATAGCAGTGTCCAGACCACAACTTTATGTAATGCAACAGAGGAACAATATTGCTGAAATCACTTTCACAACAAGTTGTTTAAGCTGTTGAACGACAGCCAATCAGAATCAATTCTACTTTAAAGCGCTCAAGCACTAATGCAGCCTTCACGTGCTATCAGAATTATTGTAAATACGAGTTTCCTATTCAGAAATTAGACATGAACGGCCTCTCAAGTCATATTTACCACTCGGAAACTCTAATTATTAATTAATCGGTTTTTAATTACTAATTATAATTTTGATACCAGAATTTCCGAGCCCTTTCACACCAAAAGTGAAATGAATCAGCCTCGAAGGTCAGAAGCAAAGACCTGGTTAATAAAATGGGATTAAATACATAAAGAACATTTGTGTTATTTAACATAGAATTATTACAGGTTTGCGTCATATTCTAAGTTGCATTTCATGGCTTTTATTCATTTTGAGGTATACTGAATCTGTTTTTTTTTGCAAGTGAGATGAAATTAATGCACGTTCACATTTATTCTAGAACTACAGTAACATCTTACTCTCAATTTCTCTCAACATGAGGACAGGAGAGCTGCCAATCAATAAATGGGAAAAAAGTAACTGGCATTACTTATTTGAAAAAGTAACTTAGATATTTTCTTGTAAATTAAAAAGTAATGCGTTACTTTACTAGTTACACTGAAAAAAGTAATCTGATTACGTAACTCACATTACTTGTAATGCGTTACCCCCAACACTGGCTGTCAATGCTTTCTTTATTAGTTTTTTTCACAACTACATGACTTTGTCTTGCCGCTAAAGTATGGTATTTATAGGCTATATTTGAACAATCATTTGAAGCATATTGTATGTTTTATAAACAGTGAAATACGCATATATTTGACCGAAATTCCAAAATCGTCAGCAAGCTGACTATCTAGCGTGGTGATTTTTTTAATATGATTGATTTAATATGCTACATTTAATTCTTTCCGACAATAAAGCACTTGAATGTGACAAGCTCGTAATCAGGACTTCATAAGTGGGAAATAGGAAATTTCTGATAGCACATGAAGGCAGCCTTAAAATGACGATATACATGCAGAGAGCGCACTTATACACACACACACATACAGAGCAGGGGTGTCCAAACCTGTTCCTGGAGGACCACTGTCCTGCAGAGTTTAGCTCCAGCCCTAATTAAACGCACCTGAACCAGCTAATCAAGGCCTTCAGACTCACTAGTAACTTCCAGGCAAGTGTGTTGGAGCTAAACTTTGCAGGACACTGGCTCTCCAAGAGCAGGATCGGACAACCTTGGCATAAAGAAAACAGAATATTCTATTCTTAACTCTTAACTAATATTGTTGTACGTACGTGTGTATGTTTTCACACTGGGTAACAGAGTTGTAGTGCCCTGATGTTTTGTTACTGCTGAAAGATGGCAACAGAACAGTTGTTAGTATCACAGAGTTCTCAACTGAATAACTGCAATGTCATTTATATATTCAAAAGTCTCACTTGGTTTCTGAATGCACTCATTTATGCAATCAGACTTCTGGAGGAAGTTGTTGTGGTTTCCTTTGCAGCCCCCATACTGGAGGTGCTGGCAATCTCCTGTTTTAGAATCATAATACCAGCGCGAGAAAACACCTTTACAGGGGCCGACCACTGAGGGTGCTGCACAGGGACCTGGCACAAAGAGAGAGAGACATTTGCTCTCACAGTATCAAATGTCTAGAGATAGAGAGGCTGGCTTTGTTAATAAAAGCTGCCGGAAGAGAAAGGAAGCAGTGGAGGAATTTTGTAAACTCATGATTAAAGCAATGTTTTTCAGTAGTCAGTGTGCTGTGTCTTCAATAGTGTCTGCATAAACATTCTTCAAAACATTTGAAGGAACAACATGAGATTGAGCAAATAATGACAAAATTAATTTTACTTTTGATGAGCCATTCCTTTAAAGGTGCTGTATGTAAGTTTATGACTCTACTAAAGCATAAAAATACCATAATATGTTTGCAGAAATTTAAGAAACATGCTAAATTAGCATACTTGTTTATCTGAAAAACAATGCTACAGTCAGTTATACTTCTTAGAAAATGTGCGTTCCGGGCCGGAATGTCGGTCTTTGTTTTGGTTTGTGAAACACGCCCGCTGCCAGTTTACCCAATTGTATTTCGGCACCCCGGGTTGCCAGTTGGTGGAAAACACAGCGTATTTCATTTAAATCATCGTCAAGTGCGCTCGTTCATGTTGGTGTCCTCAATCTGGCAACCTGCGTGTGCGTCAAGTCTGAGGAGGAGGGGCCGGGTGGAAAAAAACCCTCTCCAATATGTTGAATTTGGACTGCAATGCCTAGTTCAACCACTCAATCCTACATACAGCACCTTTAAATGTGTCTTTGAATGATGTATCTTATGTCTTACCTTGCGAACTGAAGTCATAATGTTGATGTTGTTCAGGTTTAGGGCTATCATTGAGCTGTATTTCTGTGGGCGTCTGGGCTTCTGCTTCAGTTTGTACATCTGGTCCATGTTTAGAGGGGGGGTTGGACTTATGACCACTATCAACTATAAAACAGACCCAACCATTTTTATTTATCTTTAAGTAATTAAGATTCTGAAAAGGCTTTTGAGAGGATGGTAGGAGAGTGGCTTAGGCTTACAATTTTGGCAGAAATCTTCATCTGATCGGTCAGGGCAGTGTTGCTTTCCATCGCAGGCATAACCAATGTCTATACAGCAGCCATCATCACACATGAACTGATACCGAGAACAGTGACCTGTACACACTTTAGAGAAACACACACAGTGCTGTGTCACATCCATATAGATTCAGGTTGAAGTTTACAGTTTATTAGTCCCTACAGAGCAATTAAAACAGCCAGGAAGTAATTGCACAAAACAGACAGAACATCAGAAAATACTACTAACAATACATAAACAAAAAAACTCAAGACACTTGATATAAAACAAAGTACAGGAGTAAAGAACAGTGTTAAAGACACTGAATTATGAATAAACTAATACAGTTTTACATATAATAATGTATGGACATATACATGCAAAAAGTGGGTCAGGATGGATGACTACTTGACCTGTCAATTAGTGTGGTCACCTTAGAAAGATCCTCACATTTGAACATAACTGGTTTCAGCTGCATCCTCAGAGAGATCATTATAACAGCTAAAGCTTCCAGATTTATGAAATGTTTCTTTCCAACAGCTATCATGGCCCATATTTACAAGCATATCACTCTTATCTTAGATTATTACGAATATTTTAACTACTGCATCATTTTCTACTTTATATGTACTATATCTCAGAACAATTTCACACTGAGATTCCAGAGCATTTTGGTAGTTTTCTGTATTCACACTGCCAGAGGTTTGCCAGATTGTGTGCTCTCCTTCACACACATCCTAAACAGTCCCGTAAAGAGAAGCACTCTTTCATTTTTGTATCATTCTCCAAAAAAACTGCAAGACTCTGGGTTTGTTTCATCATTTTCTTTTATGCATATTGCATTTTTGAATATAAATATTCTGCTTAGCCCTTCACCAGACAAATAATCACACAACATAATCATTATCAAAAACATTTACTGTCATGAAATGAATCGATTATTTTCAACAATATATTTTAATACAGTCGGACTTTATTTTTATTATAATTTTTTTAATGTTAGTCCATGTACCCATGGATACAGACATTGTGCCAGATCTCTCTTTGAATGCTGTTTAATTTGAGGTTAAACATAAAAACTCTTAGTACCCCTGTGTTCTGCTCTATTCAATTTTGCTTCTAAATGAACAGCTCTAAAAACACGTCTAATGGATGCCCAGTCAGCATGGTCCTAAACCAGCCTAGATATACTTGACCCCAAGTAGTCATTCAGACAACACACCAGCTAGTTGATTTTGAAGATATGTAGTTTTTAACATTCCTAACATGCAAGCTCTCTCTCTCTCTCTCTCTCTCTCTCTCTCTCACACACACACACACACACACACACACACACAGGTTTGTTTTTGTGAAAAGTGGGGACTCTCCATAGGTGTAATGGTTTTTATACTGTACAGACCGTATATTCTATTGCCCTACACCAACCCTACCCCTAAACCTACCCCTCACAGGAGACTTTCTGCTATTTCAGATTTTCAATACACTCCATTCTGTGTGATTTATAAGCGTTTTGAAAAGTGGGGACATGGGGTAATGTCCTGAAAAGTCTCCTTCTCCTCATAATACCTATGTCATACCTTTGTCATTATACACATTTATGTCCTCATTTGTCACAAAAATGCGTACACTCACACACACACACACGTCTGGTCAGTTATCCTTGTGGGGACTCTCCATAGGCATAATGGTTTTTCTACTGTACAGACCGTATATTCTATTGCCCTACACCAACCCTACACCTAAACCTACCCCTCACAGGAAACTCTGTGCATTTTTTGATTTTCAAAAAACTTCATTCTGTGTGATTTATTAGCTAGTTTACCCGTGGGGATCTCAATTTAGGTCCCCACCGTGACACAAGTCCCCATGAGTCTGTGTGTATTCAGATTTAAGTCCCCACCAGAATAGAAAAACCTGTACACACACACACACACAATTCAAATACTAATCATCCATGTTTACATGTAACTGTTTTAAAAATAGACAAGGAAGATTTAGAGACAAATCATTTCTGACCTTCTGCGTTTGGTGCAGGGGCGAGCACACTGACAGACACATTGTCAGATCTCTTCTGTCCCGCCGTGTCGGTGACGGTCAGCTCAAAGGTATAAATGCCTTCTCTAAGACCACTGAGTTTCAGCAGGCCTGGGTGAGTCACCTGCAGAAATCACCCAACATAATCAAGAGTTTAAAGAATGTTGGTTAACCAATCAGCTGCTAGTGTGAAAAAACAAAAAAACACTGCAAGTCAATGGCTACCAGCAACTGTTTTATTCATACAGGTTTGGAACAGCATGAGGGTGAGTACATGATGACAAATTTTTGATTTTTGGGTGAGCTATCACACAAGTTTTTTCCTAAGGACTCCATGAAATCAAAAATCCTATCTGCTAGCTTCAAAGTCATCTAAAGTCACCAACTCTGCCGTTGTACTTCCAAATAATAACAGAATATATCATTCAAAATCAACAGCTATGCAGGTACAGACAAAATCATGATGTTACAGAGAAACTGAGAATGACTTCAGACACAGTGCATATATGACTTCCTATTTGTAACGCTATGAAGCTGAAAAAACAAAAAAACACTTAGTTCTTTTAGACTTCTGTCGACTACTTTTAATTGTACACTACCGTTCAAAAGTTTGGTGTCTGTAGGAATGTGCTCACTAAGGCTGTACCTGCATCTATACAGTAAGAACAGTAATATTGTGAAATATTATTCACATTTCAAATAACTCTTTTCCGTTTGAACATATTTTGTAATTTATTCTATTGATGACAAAGCTGAATTTTCAGCATAATTACTCCAGTCTTCAGTGTCACATGATCTTCAGAAATCATTCTGATGCTGATCTGGAGTTCAAGAAACATTTCCTTTTATAATCAATGTTAAAATCCTTTTTCAGCGTTAGCCTATATGATGCATAGAAAGTTCAAAAGACAGCACTTAATACAATTTCTTTAAGAATGTATATTTTACTGCCACTTTTGATCAATTTAACCCTTAAGTGTCACCGGCCGGTTGGCGTTCTTTTCTTCGTTGTCCTCTTTCTCTATCACATATTTTAGTAATCATCATAAAATATATACCACTTGAAAGCTTAAAACCTCAAAACCCTGTTGAAAACCATTTTGAAATCGGACATTGCGTTGCCATGGAAATGGTACTTTAAAATCTTTTAGTGGTCTCCTCCCCCTTAGTGGGCGTGTCAAGTATCATATTACAAAATGCATTATGGTCTTTTAGAATCAAAACTTTTTATAATCTTAACAATATACATTTCGTTGGAAAGGTCTGAATCTCAAGATTGCATATGTTGTGTATTTTGTGATAGATGTGATATTGACAGAAATGTAGACATTTGTGACAGAAAAATAAATGCATCAAAAGAAATTCAATGGAGTTTTGATGACACCCGGTGGCTGTTTGTGTTATTACTAAATAAATAAAAGGAAAGGAAAGGATGTGTCGTCAAGTATGGTGACCCATACTTGTAATTTGTGCTCTGCATTTCACCCCTCCACACATGCACGCACACGCACACACAGCAGTGAGAAGTGAACACACGCACACAGACAGAGCCAATGCTGCGGCACCTGGGGAGCAGTTGGGGGTCCAGTGCCTTGCTCAAGGGCACGCACACACAGCAGTGAGAAGTGAACACACGCACACAGACAGAGCCAATGCTGCGGCACCCGGGGAGCAGTTGGGGGTCCAGTGCCTTGCTCAAGGGCACCTCAGTCGTGGTATTGAGGGTGGAAGAGGGTGCTGGTCATTCACTCCCCACACCTACACTGCCTGCCAGACTTGAGATTTGAATCTGCAACCTTTAGGTTACAAGTTCGACTCTCTAACCATTAGGCCATGACTGCCCCCGAGATTTAAATAAAACCTCATTTTTTTATATCAACTTCAAATTTGGAACACAATTTATTTAGCCATAATACCTTAATTTTATAGCAATTTTGGTTTCAAAAATATTTTGAAAAATACTTATTTTATATAAAATAAAATAAAAATTGGTACAGTGCATTTTCTTTACAGTAAATTTAAACTTCTATATAACCTTATGATACTTTAATATTTTGAAATTATTCCACTTCTGCAATAATCTGCAGATTGTCTTCTTTAAAAAAAGATTCCAAAACATTCATGATATATAACAATTTAAGTTTGGATAGTGCACTTTCATGTTTATGTTCAGAAATGGGGCACTTAAAGGGATAGTTCACCCAAAAATGAAAATGTGATGTTTATCTGCTTACCCCCAGGGCATCCAAGATGTAGGTGACTTTGTTTCTTCATTAGAACACATTTGATAATTTTTAAGTCCAAGATGAAATCCGACAGCTCTCTGAACCTGCATAGACAGCAATACAACTAAAATGTTCCCAGGTCCAGAACCATTGAAAGGACATCGGTAAAGCAGTCCATGGGAAATCAGGGGTTCAACCGTAATTTTACGAAGCTACGAGAATAGTTTTTGTACACAAAGAAACACAAAAATAACTCATTTATTCAACAATTCTTCTCCTCTTCATCCCGCCATTGTGGAGAGTCTCACGACGCATACGCGTGCTTCCGCATGTTACGCGTGTAAACACATGTGCATTGTGCTGCACATCTGTCCTGATACTTTCTTCATAATGGCAGCGCACCACTGCAGACCGGATGAGGAAGAGAAGAACTGTTGAATAAAGTCATTATTTTTGCTTTCTTTGCGCATAAAAAGTATTCTCGTAGCTTCATAAAATTACGTTTGAACCCCTGATGTCACATGGACTACTTCACCAATGTCCTTCTGGACCTGGGAACATTGCAGTTGCGTTGCTGTCTATGGAGGGTCAGAGAGCTCTCAGATTTCATCAAAAAACATCTTAATTTGTGTTCTGAAGATGAACAAAAGTCGGTAACACTTTATAATAACGCTCAGTTGTAAGTCATTTACAAGCAATTAGTTAATGATGAACTAATCATTTACAAAACATGACTATGTATTCATAAATGATTAATAAGTGATATGTTAATTTTTTTTATCTATGTTTTGTAGATTAAGTTATAAATAATTTACAAGTGATTAGATGATGATGAACTAATCACTTACAAAACATAACTGTACATTCACAAATGATTATTAAGTAATATGCTAACGATTTACAAATCTGTCGTAACTAATCACTTATAAATGACTTACAACTGAACATTATTATAAAGTGTTACCCAAAGGTCTTACATGTTTGGAACGACATAAAGGGTGAGTAATTAATGACAGAATTTTCATTTTTGGGTGAACTATCCCTTTAAGGGATTAATGCATCCTTGCCAAATAGCCTAAATGTATTTGTTTCTTTCAAAAAAGGTAGTGTACATTATATAATTATGTCTCTGGGTAACATGAAGACAGGGCCTGAGTGGGACTCATTTTCAGCCCTGGAGTTTCATGCTTAGACCGGCCCACTTTAGTTCATGTCCGACTATATTAAAATAATTTAATTAATTAGTTAGTGCACTGTTCTCTACAGCCTTGTCAAATTCATTTTCTAGAGCTTTCGTTTTAATGTAAAAATCTTTAAAAGTTTAGAAATGGAAAATAAGGGACAATTGTAATTTTTTTTAAGGAAATAAGGGACAGAATAAGGGACACTCAAAATATTTGTACTGTACCATAATGTGTCTGCCCGCAGTTAAAAAGTTCCCAGAAAAAAAAAATCACATTTGTTTTTCTTAATTTATGTACAATTATTCTAAAAACGAATTTTAATGTCACACAAAAAAATGTGTGAGTTAATTGTACCATTAGGCTACAGAATTGTGAGTGCACAAGTAATGTAGTAATTTAGGAGAAATTTGAAAGCATAACAACTGAACGTCTATGAAACGTCAGTCAATAAAGCAATGGCACTTACATTTTTGAACTAAAATTTTATGGCAACCATACACTCTAAAAAAAAAGGTGCTATATAGCACCAAAAGCGGTTCTTTGGCTTGTAATCATAGGGGAACCACTTTTAGTGCTGTTTAGCACCTATTTTTACAGGTGCTATATAGCACCTTTGTCAAATGGTGCCATGTTTAACCATAAGAGGTGCCATATAGCACTTATAGCACATATAGCACTCAACAATGGTGCACCAATCATAACTCATCCATGGCTCCCAGCATGCATTGCGACATGAATATATTATGCAGCTGCATTGTCTTAGTATTTTCTCTTATTCTTACTATTTGCTGATATTTTTGTTGTGACTTTTTACTGCCCTGTTTTGTGATGTTCAAAAATCATATCAAAATGATCAGAATACTTTGTCCCCATTGCTGAGATTCACATGCTGATTCTTCATGTCTATGAGTGACAGAACTGAAACCTCTTTATGAGCCATAATTCTAAAAGTGGTTTATACAAGTTTCTCACATTGTCACGTAGTATCGTAGAACTGCAATAATATAGAACTCATAAGAACTACAGATTTTGATTAAATGCAAGCCAGCGACTCATACGCATGAAATGATTTTACCATAGGTTTCTTGCCATCACATATGTGCTTTATAAACACTATTGTAACAGCCAAAGAGAAACTTATTTTTTAAACTTAAAACGAGAGTCAAGGGTCAAGAGGCAACTAAACCAAACACTGTTCACCAAAACGGTAAGTTGAAAAAAAACATCTAAACTTTAATTCTCAATAAAGAACTTCTGTTTTAGATACTCCAGAAATAAAGTCTAACTGGTTAGTAATGTGTGAAGTTGGTGTTGCTGTTTGTGGAGAGGTCCTTTTTTTCTGAGGTCAAAGGTCTCATGTGGGGGCCCTGGAATATTTCCGTATGGGGGCCTTGAGGGCAAAAAAAATTATATCTTCAAGAAATAGACTGTATTTTAACGTTGTTTTAACCCTTTCCCCAACTAAACTAAGAGACTAAGAGAGAGTTAAAGAACCTTTAAAGAACTATACAGGGGCTTACAGGTTTTACGGTGGTGATATATAGCACCTCATCAACTCCAAAGAACCGCTGAAGAACCATACTTACAGGTTTTACGGTAGTGGTGCTATACAGCACCTCATCAACTCCAAAGAACCGCTGAAGAACCATACAGGGGCTTAACAGGTTCTTTATACGGTAGTGGTGCTATACAGCACCTCATCGACTCCAAAGAACCGCTGAAGAACCATACACCGGCTTACAGGTTTTACGGAAGTGGTGCTATACAGCACCTCATCGACTCCAAAGAACCACTGAAGAACCATACAGGGGCTTAACAGGTTCTTTATACGGTAGTGGTGCTATACAGCACCTCATCGACTCCAAAGAACCGCTGAAGAACCGCTGAAGAACCATACAGGAGCTTAACAGGTTCTTTATACGGTAGTGGTGCTATATAGCACCTTAACCACTCCAAAGAACCGCTGAAGAACCGCTGAAGCACCTTTTTTTTTTTAGAGTGTAGCCTATGAATGAATGAAACTGCATATTTTCAATTAAAGTCAACTTAGAGAGTGTGGGCTGTTTCTGCTGCTGGAATTTTTACTTCAGTAATGAGGTCCAAGTTTAAGAATACCCTAGAGGTTATTATTTTCTTCCCCCTCTCTCTATTTAACACACCATTAAATTACAATAGTGAAAGACGTCTTCCTTCAGGTAGATTGAATGTTGGGCTCATGATCAATAAATGATTTGCATTCGATACAAAACAACAACAAAACAAAATTTTCGTCTTTCTTAGCCCGACCCATTCAGTACGCGGCCCCTGATGACTACAATCGGAGAAACCCACCCTCATCCATCCCATATGAAGGTCTCCCGGCTGAAGTGCTTGGGCTGTCAGTGGCAGCAGAATCAAGGCTGGGCTCATGGTGTCTAGAGCTGCTGTTGTCCACCCGACTGTAGGTGCTGAATCCCGGCTGAAAGGAAAACGAGCACACACTCCTGCCCCTGTACGTGCAGTTGAACAGATAACAGCGCAAACTGTCATCGGGCTGCTTGAGGTCCTCCTGGATGATGGCGGCTGTGCAGTGCGGGTGAGAGCAGCAGGCGTGCGCGCAGTCCCTCCAGCTGAACACCCTCTGCGGGGCGGACAAGAACGCGGCGCCCTGCTCGATGGACGCGCTGGCGCGGATGATGCGCTCCTCCGCCGCCTTGAAGCCACTGATACAGCGGTCTCCATCCTCCTCATCCTCCCTCGAGTCCGACTCATCCTGCTGTAGCTGCTTACGGAACTCCTCCAGCAGTTCTTCCACGCCAGATATTCTGGATTTGAGATCGGATGTTGAAGAGGAGCGCGTCGACATCCAGAGAAGAACAGAACAGATGAGCGCTCGCTGGATATGATGCGCCGCAGGAGACATGATGCCGCTTTAAACGCTCATTTATCAAGATGGAAACAGTGGCACTCTTTTTCTCACATCACATTCGAGATTCAAAGTATTAGTTTAGCATAAGAAAAAAATCCGCGTTTTGCGCATTTTAGCAGCACAGCACAAAGCACCTGCACCTGTCGGTTTCACGGCCGACTGAACTGAAATGAGTGCAGCGGATAATCCAGCATTGTGCTGCGAAGCTAGTTCATCCCTGCAGGCGGCACTCTGTGGCTCAACCCAAACACCACTGAATTACATATTCCTATATCTTCTTGGGTAAAATGAAATATACAGTGAAATATAGCCGCAAGCAGATTATTGGGGTCCAAGCACCAATGGCTCAGGTGGACGATCTGGTGACACTCTTCTCAAATATGAGTCTAAAAAGGTCTCTTTATAGAAGTAGGCCTATTATTCTATGCATTATGATAAGAGAAACAAATTCAATTGTCTATTTGTTTTAATTGGACAACAATACAGCAATAAAAATATATAAAATATATTCTTTTTTAATGTTTTAGCATTGTAATATCATTTCAAAAGTTTTTAATATCATTCATTTAATTATAACTCATTTGGAGATCACGGATTTCTTTACAAACTGATTATATTGAAGTCAATCAATTGAACAGTGTACACCAGGTTGATTAATATTTATAATGCTTAAGTAGCGCAAGCATATTGGTATTGAGAACTATTTTGCTTAAGTCCACGACGACAAACCTACTGATTTATGCAAAGTCATTAAAAGCATCAATTCAACTCAAATCTCTTGCAAATAACAGCAGCACACATTCATGTGTGATTGAAATTATTGAAGAGATTCACACTGCATCAATAACTACACAATTACTGCCTTTAAATAAAGCTACAAGCAATATAACATCAGTGTTTCCCTCTCTGTCCTTTACTTAAACACAGGCTCTGCTCTCCAGCACAATGGTGACCCACAAAACACAAGAGGAAGTTGATTGTTAGGTTTTACAGTATTTAGCTGGGTTTTTTCTCGATTTTACGGTGAAATACCGGTAGCTGTGGTTGCCAGTAATCTACTGTTTTTTACAGTTTGCTTCCGTAAATTAAATTAACAGTATATTTCTGTTAAAAATACATTTTACAGTGTGTTTTTCTTCATCTCACACATTTAACCCCTTTAATCCCACAGCAAAATCCTCAGTTTTAAAGAGCACTTATATGTGTCCACACTACAGAGTGTTGAAGTGACACTGAAGCGGTGATGAAGTTAATGAGATAATTAAATGAGGATTGAGCATTAGTGATGAACAACTGTTATTTATTTATTTAGATATTTATCAGACGCTTTTATCCAAAGCGACTTAAAGTGAGGACAACAGAAGCAATCAATTGTAGCATTAAAACAACTAAAAACAGATCCAAAACTAAAAGCTAAAACTTTATAAATACTACCTATACACATTTTAAAAAATAAAGAAATTAAATAAAAATTACAAATGCATACAACACATTTTCAAAACTTAACATTTAAATGAAAAACTAAAAATAAAGCTAAAAACAATTCAAAATATTAAAGAACAAAAGGTATAAGAGTATAATAATGATTCTAACATAACACTAAGCCAAACACCAAAATAAACAACTACATATGTGTATGTACAACCACACACACATACATATAAATATATATTACACACACATTTATAAATTCAATATATATAGTATTTCATTTCCGTTTAGTTTTGTTGAAGTATTAAACTAACTCAAATTAAATAAAACTAAAAACTTAATAAAAGACCTATACAGACATAATAAATTCAGACATTATTTAACTCAAATTAAAATAAATAACAAATACAAATAATACAAATCAAACGACAGTAGTTTATCAGTAATCCTAAAAAAAGAACACTGGCAAACATGAGTGCTAAAAAACAACAACTTACTTACACATAGTAAGAAATGGTTATGAAAACTGAAACAGGAGTGAAACAAGTAATAGGAAAGAGTCGCTGGTCTTTACACTCTTCGGTCTTCACATGAGGAGGCCGTCACGCGACCGCTGCCGCGGTAAACTAAGCTTTATAAACTTTTTATACCCGTCTAACAAAATACTAAATTAACTCTGCTGGACACAAATGGCCAAGCAAGCGCAGACACTGACAAGATACGCGATACAGAACGAGACCAAACGCGATACCAGCACGTCTCCACACAGTAAACAAAACAAAACTGTTAAGAAGCAGAATCACTGAAGGAAAGAGAAACAAGAGCAGAGAAACACAACTTATGCCGAGTTCACACTGCACGATTATCAAACTCGTCGGATCGCCGTTGTTTTCACACTGCGTGACTATCTGGGGTAGCATTCAGTTGTTGCTGCGTTCACATTGCACGATGGATCGGCGACAGGAGGTTACACACTGCATGACTTCACCATAGGAAGAATCGCCGACAGCTCTGTCTGGTGCAGGGTTGCCAGGATTTCGCTACAAAACCTGCCCAATTACTACTCAAAACTAGCCTGAAAATAGCCCAATTGCTTTCGAGGGGGTCCCCCAGTAAAAATCGCTTTCCGGGGGTAAAATACAATTTTTTTTGGCTGGGTTCTCCTGGTACAATTCACATTCCAGGGCCTAAATATCACGTTATTGGGGTCGCTTCAACCTGCTGGCATAAAAAACAACCGGCAGCAATCGCAGATTTGGCAAAACTGGTCCGCAAACTACGTTTCATATAACTCCTCGCCGAACTTCCCGCTGCCCTGTATCTTGGTCTCTCATTGGCTGTAGGTCATCGCCGATGTGTTTTTCAGTCAGAACTCATTGCACACAGTGTGATTGTGAATCGCCGACAGCTCCAGATATTTAGCATCCCAAAAATTGAGGGCGTCGGCGATTCCCTCAGATCGCGTCTTTGATAATTCACACTGCGTGATTGTCACTCGCGTGAACGAGCACCGATTTGCCTCAGATTTCGGGCATTTGCTGGTGATTTCGCAAAACCTGTCGGCGAGTGAAAAATCGGGCTAAAATCGTGCAGTGTGAACTCGGCATTACAGCCAAAGCCAAAGATGAAATCAACTGAAAATAAAACACATTAAATGTATCAAGATCTCAGCAGAGGAGGATTAAACAGCTCCACCAGCTTCTTGCTAACCAGTGTGACTTTATTTCTGTCATATGTGTACAAAAGCTCTTATTGAGATATTAGGTGTTGTACTTTAATTTGAAGTCAATGAAATGATCGTCAAATTAATGACGATCAGTGTTTGCTTTAGTTGGGCTCTTGAACCTTGACTTTTTAAAAAGTCTTTTTTCTTTGGTTGATTTAGTTAGCTGTTACTATTTAACGCAGTTTTTATAGCAAGAAAAGCCAAAATTATCTGTGATTAGATAAAACTGGTGTTTGTGATGTCAAGACCATCATGAACTAGATTCACTGATCACCCTTAATGTTTAAACTCTTATTAAGTGTGTGTGAAATATTACTAATACTCTTGAGTTGCACAATTGATACTACTGGAATCAATCATTGTGAAACAGTCCTAAGCACTATATGCACAAATGAAAGTTTTGAACTACGGCAGAACTTAAACACACACAGACATCAACATTCAGCTTATGAATCTCAACATTGGGGACGATAAAAAAAATAAAAAATTAAAAAATTAAAAAAAATAATTTTGTGCTGGCACCCAGCATGCATGATTTAAAAAAATATTTTTTTTTATTAAGAGTCACCATTGTTGAGATTCATGTGCTGATTCTTGATGTCTGTGTGTGTCTAAAAGGTATTGTAGTGTTGTGCATAAAACTTTTAAAATTCCTTCACAATAGTTTGTTAATATATCTTGTAGAGTAATTTTAGTACCATAAACAAAATTTATTTGCCCATATAGTTAGACACAAATTGAGATCATAAATCACATCATTAAATGATCATTACATCATAATTAATAGCTATTAAAACCAGTTCTTTGCTATTTCTCTCAGCTTTTCTTGTCATAACTAGTGTGTTTTACGAACAGTTATAACAGCAGAGAAAAACCAACTAAAGCAACCACCGATCGCCAATGGTGAGGTCAAACAAAACATTTTCAATACAATATACACCTCTGTTAATTCTCAAAAATGTTTTGTAGATATATGACAGAAATAAAGTGAGTCTGGTTAGTAATGAGTGAAGCTGGTAATGTTGTTTGTAGAGTTGTTTAATCATCATCTGCTGTTTTATTTCAGTTGATTTCATTTAAGGCTGTGGCTGAAGTCAGTTGTAGTTTTGTTTCTTGCTCTTTCCTTCAGTGATTCTGCTTGTTAACAGAAACTGTTCATCATTGGTTGAATTCACTCATTAGTTTTCATTCTCTCTGTCAGGTGGACTCTATTAGTAAACTAATGTAGGGAATAGTGAATGAGGGTTTAGGGTGTGATTTCAGACACAGTCTATGAGTGTTGACTCTGAGGCTACTTTCTCGAAAACAAAGGTTAGATCTATTACAGTTATTCACCGTATATAGCAGGAGTACTCAATAGGCGGACTCCAGTCCGCATCCGGACCCAGACACGGTTAAATCTGGACCGACGCGCCAAAACCAACATGCTAATTTAATCATAATCAAAATTAGTTTTCAATGGAGAGCACAATTGTGATTCCGCGCTATATATCGTTGAGGCTTCTACTCGGTTTGGCTGCTTCATCTATGTCCAATCACAGCAGCTGTAACAGCATCGCTATAGCAACGTCACCACTACTCACTCACGTTTGTTGCGCTCATTTCTAATAGAGGTGAATGCAACATTTGATGATTTGCTCCTTCACAACAATGTCCGGTGGCTTAGTAAAGGCAAGGTACTGGAGCGGTTTTGGGCACTGCGGAAAGAGCTGGAGACATTTCTGTTGAATCAGAAAAGTGCAAAAGCCAAACCGTTTGTGAATTTCATGATGAAGAGGAAATGGAAGTTGTTGCTTTTCTAACTGACATTACTTCCCATCTCAATGACCTTAATATGAAGCTCCAGGGCAAAAACAGCACAGTGTGTGGCCTCATGTCAGCTGTCCATGCTTTCCAGAGGAAGCTGGAGGTGTTCAAATGTGACTTACAGCAGAACCTGCTTCATTTCCCAAGACTTTTGGATCAGACTGCAGGAAAAC